CAAGACAGGGAAGCCACACAAAGAGACATCAAAACTCACACACAGGCCACAAGACTCTACAAACTGTCAACCCACTGACTTAACCTGCCAGAAATCACTAGAACACATAACTCCTTAGGATCAGAACTCTGCTCTTCTGGTTGGAGCTCACCAGCCTACTGACCGGGAAAGAACAGGGTGACTTCAGCCACTCCAGGAGCCTGCCATCTCCAGTCAAGTGCCAGTCCCTGTTTGACAGATCAGCCAGGCAGAAGTTGAAGACAAGATTGAAGTGTTCAGGACACAAGTTCTAAATACTGATACAAGATCTGCATGACCTCCTGTGTCATCCTCCTCACTGCGACCAGTCTCCAGCTCTCTGAAGCCTCAGCTTCCTCTTTGGTGAACTGGGAGATTGAGTTTTGCCATTTACCAGATTTCTGAGGACTACTGGTCACCCTTCAGATCAGGGTTAAGCACCTGCAGTTTTCTCTTCTGAACAATGGCCTCTTTGACCTCACAGAGTTCATCAGAGTACTTACCACTGCCTTGTGGATGAAGATCCTGGACCCTGAAAACACATGCACACTCGTGCACACACACACACACACACACAGCACACGCACACGCACACGCACACGCACGCACGCACGCACGCACGCACATGCACACGCACACGCACACGCACACGCACACACATATGCACACACACTTCCATCTCTTCTTTATCCCAGGACTCAGAAAGTTAGACCTACAGATTAGCGATCTTTATACTCCAGTGCCCTTCCCTACTATAGCCATGAATAGGTGGGTTTACATGATCTTGTAGAAAGAAAACCCCCTTGCCCTGATTAATCAGATGTGTTAATAACCTTGAGAAGTCACAAAGCTGAATCCTGGTCTCTTCCACGGAAATTTTGCCATCTCATGAGAAAGCCAAGTCAGCAGCATTCTGCAGGCACCAGTCTTTTGGTTAAAAGTGGAGATAATGGTAATGACTTCCTTTTAGGGTTGTTGTGACGATAAGAAAGATAATGGTCATAAAGTCTTTAGGACAGTACCTACACAGATAACTCTCATTATTCATAGTACTAATTGCAATGGAACTAGAGTTGTGATTGGGCTGTGGTATGGGAAAGTTGAAGGCAAAGAGTGCTCTCTCAATCTTGAACTTCCTGACCTGAAGAGCCATAAGGAGAACCCTTTTCCTCAAAAAATTGTCCTGGTGTTGGGTATTCTGTCACAGCAACAGAAAACAAACTCAAGCAAGCCAGAGCTACCTGCATCTCTTGTAAGTGCTTTCTAACTAGAGAAAATCAGTGAAAGAAAGAGGCACAACACTTGATAGTTTGTCATGGAGAAGGTGCGTTTCACTGGAGGTACCCAGAGGGGAGGAAGGACTATCTGACCACCCTCAGCTCCTCAAGTGCTCAACATAAGTTGCTGTCAGTAAAGAGAGGGCAGCAAGGCCTCTGCATCTGCATCTTCTCCCCGGGGGAAGACTTATGAGTAGAGAGGAGGGAGGGTAGCCCTTTGGTGAAGTTAGCTGCCTCTGATCTTGGTCACTTGCAGAGATTTGCCAAATAGAAAGGGAGAAAAGGAGAGGTTGACTTTTGTATGAGGGCTCCCCCTATCCCAAGTTCTGTTCATGATTGTATAACCTTGGGGAATGGAGAAAGGAAGATGATGATTCAATTTTCAACAAATCACAAACAGATCCACTTTTGATGTGTTATGTTAATAACTCAACAAGAAGTGAACTGGTTATGAGGACTCATAGACTAGATGGATTCTGAGAAATAGGCTTTAAGTTGACAGTGGAAAAAATCTAAAACATGAGAAGACCGGGCATGAGGCTCTGTCCACACACATCCCGTCTATTCCCACAATGCCTAAAGGCCAACTCATTTTCCCTTCACAGGTGCAGATGTGAAGAAGGGTAACCAGACAGAGAGTCCTACCAAAGACCAAGAGTGGAATGTTAAGGTGAGTGGACAGTTTTGCCTCACTGTTCTTTTTGATCAACATGCCTCATTAAATACAACTATCTAGAGAGCTTGGTGCTTAGCACTTATTTTTCTGGCTAGGGACTAATGGTTGACTTAGCAATGTTCCTGCATCCCCTTTTCCCCCTCTAGTTCCCTTAGCTAGTCATCTGAAATAGTACAGGACAGAGGACAAAGGGCCTTGGATGCTGACCAAGTATCTTGAATAGACAAGTACCTAAAATGAGCTTACAGGGTGGAATACAGAAGTAGAGGTGGCAGAGTTGGGAGACAAGAGGACAGGACTTGCTCAGTTGCAGCAAAAGCTCTGTTTTATCAGAACCAAGGGGTGCCAGTGAGGATGAGCTTTGAATTCACAAATTCACTGGCCTTAGATAACAAAGGAGAAACTTGGCATTGCAACTCAACATCCTGAGGAAGAGGGAAGAGGGAAGAGAAAGGAACAGGAGTCCCTTTCTTGACAACTCCTTGCTTTAGAGAGTTGGTCCCTGATGGAGCCATTGTTTGCTAAGTAGCACCATAGGCACTATGCAAAGATGAATAAAACATGACCATTTCCTTCATAGCCTCATGGGGAGAATGGGAGTGTAAACAGAAAACAAACTCATTCTGGAAAAAGTTCTGTGTCAAAGGTATGCACAAAATGATAAGTGATTTGGGACAATTAGGAAAAAGGAGCTGCTGCTATGTAAGGAAATTCATAAAGTAATTAGCCATTAATAGGAGTTTGGTAAAATAGTGGAGGTTGTGGGAGCCCCCGCCCTTCACTGTGTTCATAGGCTCACTGTCCTGTCAGAGAAGTTATAGCAGGAAGTAAAATGTATGGATTTCCCTTCTCTTGAGACTTCTTCATGCATCCATGAAGCAAAGGACCAAGGCACTGACTACAAAATGTCTTCCTTGCTCACTTCCTCAAGAGGTGTCCAGTTCAAAGGCAGGGGAATCTTCCTTTGTGTCATTGAAATCCTTCCTCTAATTTTCCGGGTCCCTTATTATCATCTCTTTCCTGTGCTCATTGAAAGTAGCTGTTTGAATCTTTCACTCTCTGGGAACCTCTGGATGGGTCCTGTTCTCTCTTTGGTACTAATATCATGAACTGTGCATGACATTTCTCAAGCCTCCCCCATAGCCTGCAGTGATCCATTCCTATTACTCTTTTGTTCATTAAACAAATACTTGCTGAACAGAAACCATATGCCTGGTCTGGAAACTAAGAAGGCAACTGTAGGGGAAGCTGTAGCCACGCCTACTTAGGGGCTGGCTACAGGTGTGCCTGACCACGCTTGCAAGGGCGTGGTCAGGGGGACGGTGTGTGACTGCATTTTCTCTTTCGGTTTCTCTTTGGTACTTGCTGTACAGACTGCTGCCACACCAGCTGGCTAGGTCGCTCTGTAAGTAAGGTTTTTCCCTATTAAATACCCTTATATTTCTACTTGACTCAGTATTGGTAATTTCCCACTATAGGCAACAGTGAAAAAACAAAACAAAACCTAAAAGTGATCCAGTCCAGAAGTGAAGACAGACAATGAGCAATTAAACCCATGAATGCTAACATGCTGCCAGGCAGTCCTAAGTTCTTATTCTGAAGAGAAGCATGGAGACTTTGTTCAGGGTGCTGGGCAGAGGGTAATGAGCTTGAGGGTACCTCTCTGAGAAAGGAGTGTTAGAGCTAAGAAGAGACCTAAGTAAGAGGAGAAGGGAAGACTGATGGCTGGTAAAATGTAGGTTTACGTGACATGTATGAAAATGAGCCAGTCTTCCTATAGTTGATAAACATAGTAAGAGAGTAGGGTTGCACAGCAGCGCGCGTGAGAGAAACAGTGGTCATTCTAAGATCACTGGGTGATTTAATGGGTGATTAAAGTCTTTGAATGTGTCAGGGCTTTGGGTCTTGTTTCAGTTGGATGAGATGCTTTTGGAGAGTTTGGAGCTGAGGAGATACAAGTTTGTGTCTTTGCAATGCCCTGCTGAAACTAGTCTCAGAAAAGAAGCCTGGGCTCTAGCAGCCAAGTAGGCTGGGCTCAGCCACTTGTCCCAGTTCACCAATTCAAAAGATGATGCAGTAGGGGAGATGGTGCAGGGGTAAAGTATTGACTATGAGGACCAGAGTTCAGAGGCCCAGAACCCACAGAAAACCAGACAACACAGTAGTACATGACATAGTGGTACACAACACAGTAGTCCACAGCTATATCTGCTAAAGTGAGGTAGAGAGAGGAGAATCTCCAGAAGGTTGAGGACCAGTTTTCCTGGCATATACATCAATGAACAACAAAAATCCGTATTTCAAACAAGGTAGAAGATGAGGGCTGCTCCCCAAGGCTGTCCTCTGACATCCAAATGCAGCCCGTGACACATGTGTGCCTACCTGGGCTGAAGAGTTTTTAAAAGATGAGTGATGACAAATAGTGGGGAAAAGACAGTTAATTAAGATGGCCACATTGGGAAGAACAGATAAAGGGGTTTAGGAAGCCCACGTCTGCCTTTGAGGTACTGACACGAAGAAGAGTTAGAGCAAAGGGCAATAGGAAGGTCTAATTAAGCAACCTGGGGAGGCAGGGTCTTGATGGAAGAGCCAACAGGATTTACTCAAATGAGTGTATGTAGGGAAATAGAAATGATACAAGTGAAGGACAACTGCAAGGAACTCAGAGAGCAGCTGAATCAGTGGCCGAACTAGTCACTGAAGTCAGACTGTGTGGAAAAGCAGGTCTGACATGTGCAGTTGATGAAGGAATGTTTGGGAATATAACATCATGCACCTCAATTCCTCTTATCTTCCAGTTCCTTCGATTCCTTCCCTCCTTCCTGAAGCCAGCCCCAAAAAGAAATTTAAAAAAAAAGAAAAAGAAAAACAAACCAAACCAAAACCAAGCAAACAAACAAAAAGAAAAACAAAACAAAAACAAAAACCTCTTGGCTCCTCCATCTTGCCTGCCTCTCCAACACCTCTTCATTTGTCCTGGTGGCATTGGGAGCCTTGCTGTGTCACACAGTATACCCTTTTGTTCAATCAGCTTTACTAGCAAATATTCACTGCAATGAGTCACTGGTCTGGTTCAAGGCCTCTAGTTTCTGGTACACCATCATCACTGGCTCCTCACTGAAACTCCTTTGTGATATCCCGTGGCTGCCCTGAGTCGTGGAGATCCTGTGGATATTGTTCCACAGGACCAGTTCCTTCACAAGCTCCAGCAGGTCCTAGATGGGGAAGATGGCAGGATGGACCAACCCCAGACCCAGCTGTGGGCTGGATGATAGCTGATCTGGTCAATCCAGGCCACTGGGGCTGCCCCTTCCCATCCCTCAGACGAGGGGCAGAGCCAGCTCTCCTATGCCCTTGGCTTCTCAAGGTCATGTCAAGTTGCTAGATAGCCCAAACCCTGCTACTAAGGTTGTAGCCTGCATTTGCCAGTGTGTTTCCTAGATGCTCCAAGGTTAGTAGAAGTCATCCCAAAGAGGGTAAGGAAAGGTGAGGCAGTCAGCTAGCTATTTGGAAACACAAAACCCAAATCCTAGAAGAGCTCACAAAAAAAAAAAAAAAAAAAAAAAAAAACAAGCTGCAAAGCAAATGATTTCTCAAAGCAGTGAAAGATGGACACACAGACAGGACAGACAATCAGTTTGCAGGCTCTGGAGGAACAGGAAACTTTGTAGCACCCTACGTTGGCCAGGAAAGGACATAGAAGAGTGGGTCTCAAATGGGTCCCCTATAATGAAGATCACTGACTTGACCACCTGTGGTGCTGGGAGAGAGACTGCCAGCCTGGATGGGAATCCATCAATTCAATAAAATGCCTCTGGGTAAGAAAGACCCATTTACTTCTTATCATTATCCTTAATAATTCTGAATCAGAGAGTGATGGAAAACCAACCCAGATCTCATTTCAGAGGGATGGGGAAAGGAGGAGGAAAACACATCAGAAAACAAATTCATCTTCTCCACACAGAGACAAAGGACTGAGGCTTGGTCTGAAGCTAAAAAGACTGATCCTTTCAAGGCTAGGCTAGTTTTCAAGACATTCAAGTCAAGTACTGATAAAAATCCCACTATTCACTGTTATATTAATGGCTTCTCCACTGTATGCAGATAGGCAAAAGCATTGCATCTTTATTTGCATTTCCCTTTCTATTGCCTCCAGCTCACTGAATTTCTCCCTTATCTGCCAAGAAATGTCTACTTCTAAGGTATTCTCTCATTTCCTCATGCCATTGGCTGTCAAACGACTTAATAACTTGCCCATCATGGAAGTCAAATATAGTTTATTAAAAATGCATGTCTCACTCAATGGGATGCCCTTTGGCAATCCTCAGACCTTGACGACTCTGTCTCAAAGCTTGGGAGCACAGAATGGTCTTGGCTGGCCAGCCGCATGGTCTTACTTTCTATCGTACTGGCTGCCCAGTGCATCCTGGGGTGAAGAGAGATGGAAGAAGGTGGTAGGGGCTGTCCAAAGGAGGTGAAATGAAGTGACAATCTGAATGAGGAATTGGGACCCACGCCTGAGCATCTCAAGTTCCTCAGGACTTTCAAGTCAAGGGAGGAGTGTGGTATTGAGGATGGGCTTGGGACCTGGAGAAGAGGGAGAGAGGACATGGCATTGAGGTGGGAGTGGCTGTGTCAAGTGATACTGGGATGATGAATCACGTCTTCAAAGGCTCACATAGCATCATCTGTTTACAGGGGCTAATGAGGCGTCTGGAGTCGCAAGTGCAGAGTCAGAATGTTGCTGTGGTGAGGAGAAAGTAAGGAGTCTGAGTTAAAAGGGGAGGGGTTCTCATCATCTGCCACAAGGAAGGACAACACCAAAAAAAAAAAAAAATCACTCCTATGAACCTGTCTCAAAGCTATCTAAGAGCAGCTTCAAAGCCTCCTGGGTTCCCGTTTCTAATTGCTCTTGAATTGCCTGGTCAGATCCTTCTCCATGGCTCCAGTTTAATCTTTCATTCTTTGTTTTACACTCCATGGGAAAGATGAAAAATAGCTTCATGCACCTCGTCCTCTTCAGTGCCTTTTGGTGCCTCTTCAGATTTGCAGACTTTATTGAGTCCCTCAAGGTCTCCTCTCCTTGAGGCCAGTCAACTCCTGCATCCCCCCAGGAATATTTTCTCATTGCTTCCCCTTGCATTGCTCCTTCTGGTTTTCCACTAGTTTATTCTACCCTGGACCACTCACACCTAACCTTCATGTATATAGCACACAACCAGCTTGCCACAGAAAGACAAGGTAGATGCTAAACCTCCAAGCAGATGGGCAGTGCTGGAGGAGGAACAGGAAAGAAACTAAGATGCTAATGGCAAGAGAGCATTGCTACCCTGGAAGCAGGGGTATGTTCACAGGAGCAAGGGGGAAGTTGGGGTGGATGAGGCACAGATACAGGCTGCAGGAGAACAGAATGGAGAAAACCAGGGGAGGGGGAGGGTCATGAGACAGGACAGAAGAAAATAAAAAAAAAGTGTGGGGAGAAAGGAATGAATGAGACAGCCAGAAGAAGGTTCAGAGACAGACAGAGGGGGGGAATCCAAAGAGAAAGCAAGGAGAAAGACCATAGGAGAAGCACTTTGAAGGCTCAGAAAACCTGCAGCAAGCAAAAGGAGAAGCAGAGGCAGGTGCTCACAGACAGAAACATTGAGAACAGAGGAAGGGAGGGTAAAGGAGAGGAGAAGGGCAGGGAAGGAAGGGAGAGTGTCAGGGCAGTACCTTTAGGGATGGCAGATGGTCTGATAAAGAAGAAAAACGAGACAAGAGTGATAAGGAAATTGGAAGAGAAATGGTGAGGGGTGTCATGATATTGAGAGGATAGTGAGAGAAAAGGACGCGGAAGGAGAGCGAGGGGTGGTGGAGGAGGAGACCAAGACTGGAATCAGAGCTGCAGGAAGAGGATTGGGTCCTCCTTCTGAATGTTTGCCAACATCTGAGCTTGTTATTCTCTTATCCATTTGTCACCCGTCACTAAGACTGGCTGAGAGAGCCCAGCTTTAGCTGTTCTTGATTATAGACTGTTCCATTCTGGTCTGTACCAAGGGTAACTCTGACTTTCTAAGTGAGCCAAATGCAGTTAAAACAAATCAGAGAAGGAGGCGGGGCCAGGAAGGTGACCATTAAGGATGAGAGACAGAGTTGGTTAGTGACACCCCCAGAGCGGGAAGAGACACTTCCTCAAAATATTACTGTCAGTCCTTGGCTGGGGCCCTGGGTGCCACATGCTGCCGTCTATTGCCTGGGGGATTCCAGGACTAGGCTGTCGGTCTGTGGGACCTTCCTTTCATCTCCTTTACCTTCTTAAATGCCCGGCCAGAGATGTGTCGTCCCCATGACCTCACACAAGTGCCCCCGCCTGTGCAGACAAATCAACAACTTCAGAGTTCCCCCAGGAGAATCTGGGGTCAAGCCGGATGACTGGGGAGAGAGGCCAGGGTTCCTGGTCCCCAGACTGTGTGCTCCACAGGGAACCTCACCACAGCCAACAGCTTAGCGCTTGCCCTTGGACTTGGGGTGGCAGCGCTCAGAAGTTGGGACAGAGGGAGGACGAAGAGATGGCGGCATGCTCCACTGCACCTCTCCCCAGAATGCAATGTGACACAAGGCATCAGGAGATGGCAGCGAAAGTTCAAGGGAAAAACACACAGTTATTTATGGCTCTGGCATCTGTTGTCAGAACAGAAACAGGGACCTAATCTAAGGCAAATCCAGCAGCCTGTACCAGAGCAGATGGGGAGGTGTGTGCACTGCTCGGTCCTGTTCCACTCACAATTTATTATTATTCTTCATCTCCAGATCCCATCTCCAAAGCAGACATTTGTCCTGGCCACGGTGCCAGCAACCCCGGGTGGGTGGACAGGCAACTGCGAGTGTCCTTCTGCTGACAGGCGCTTATTTCCATTGTGGGGCTTGGAGCCTTCTGTGCTAGAAGAGATGTTATGGGAAAATGTGGAAAGGAGATGAGAAAGAAGTGGGGGTGGGGAGGGCAGTGAAAGTAAGCCACAGGCTGAATAGCAATGGGGTCTGCCTGAAGTCCAGAGCTTAAAGGGGTCCACCCCTCTACTGGATTATCCATACAATGACCTTGAGTGTGCCTTCTTAAACTGTCTGGATGTTCCTACTGTTAAGTGTTTGAGATTTCATTATTGTTCATTATTAATGTTACAAACACACACACACACACACACACACACACACACACACACACACACACACACACACACACGCACGAAATGCCAGCTCAGAATAAATGTTCAGGGACACGAATGCTGGACTCAGTAGTTCTGGATACAAGTTCTAATTTTCCAAGAACCAGCCTAGTCATCCAAAGCACAAAACCTCATTCCCCAATGGGTGACATTTGTCACAAAGGAATAGGTGGGTTTATCAGCTATTTCCCTCATCTGATGACCCTACAATTCCATGGGAAGAAACCTGAAACATATCAGATGGCAGCACTGTGACAGTAGCTTAGAGAGTCAGATGAAGCCACAGCCTATGTGAGGTACTGGGCCAGTCTTGATTTTGACCTTGACTGGATGAGTAAGGTCCACTTCTGATGATGATTTCTGGGCCATTTAGTGCACTCTCAGCACCCAGGGAGGCAGGCCTATCACCCTGACAGACACTCACCTAATGTCACAAAAACCTCTCTCAGTAGCATCTGCCTGGTCCTTTAAGGGAATTGGGCAATGACAGGAGGAAGGAGAAATGTTGGAGATCACAAGGAAGGAGGCTAGCCCAGATGATGTTTGGTGGCCTTGACCTGAATCTCTAGGCTTGTGCTGATTAGGCAACCACAGGGGATTTTTAAAAGTATTTTTTAGATATTTTATTTATTTTTATTTTAGATGTGTTTGAGTGTTTGTATGTATTGTTAATACTGAGATTCACCAGGAAAAAAAAATAGTTTCACCATTTTGGCCAAATTTAAGCAAGTTTTTATTAAAATTTTAAATACTGACCAAGACGGAATCTGATCAGGATCATCACCTGGAAACTTTCCAGGTAAGTGGCCTAGAGACACACATGTTGTCGGGGCTTATATGGCCAAAACCTATAGGCCACAGTAGTTGTCTCTTTGGCTTTGTTGTTATTTTCCAACAACTACAACTCCCAGAATCCTAAGTTACCTGGTCCTTAGGTGGGCATTATCTTTTAAAGACTAGAATTGCCAGAATTCCAGGAAATTACTTGGTCCTTGGGCAGATGGGGCTTACAGGTTGACTTCAGGTCTGTCTGTGCACTACATGCATGCAGTACCCCTGGAGGCCAGAAGAGGGCAATAGGTCCCCTGGAACAGGCTTTATAGACAGTTGTGAGGTACCATTTGGGTACTGGGAATTGAGGCCAGTTTCTCTTGAAGTGCAGCCAATAAGCTTAACCACTGAGTCATCTCTAGTCTCCCAGAGAGGACTATAACTATTCTTTTAAATAAGGCACCTTAATCCCAAAAGACACCTTATTCTTCTCATCTGAAAGGAAACATCACCAAGTCCCATAGTTTCATTAAATTGCAGAATTCTATCCTCCAAACTGCCATTTGCACTTTAGTCTGTGTGTCTCAGAGGTAGTGACTTGGTGAAACTCACAGCTGAGGTCAAGGGACTTAGTCACCCCTAGCAAGCAGGACAAATAGACTTTCCTTCATTTGACTGCACGCTTGCTGGGAGCCTCTGGCCCAGGAGGGCTATACACATCATGAAAACCAGGTAGTCTGATGTTGTAATAATGGTAAATAAAGACCTGGAGGGAAGCTTCAGGTAGACAGATGTTTTGATTGACTAGACACAGGTGTCTGTCACCAGAGTCTGAGTGGGGCTAGGTGATGGAGAATCTGCCTTTCAGCTCAGCTCCCATTCCCAGGGGCTGTCAGCTACAATTCACCTGAGCGTTCTTCATACCTTCTCACTCTGGTAATCAGAAAGGGCTAGAGGCTGCTGATGGCTAATTAGCATTTGCTAGAGACTAGGCAAGACCTCACTTTTCCCCAGGTTTTATTCCTTCCCTGGGGTGTCTCTCTGGAAAGGAGGGAAGGATGGGATGTCTCTAAGTAAGGCCTTCTGGGGAAGTCTCCAGGGAGCTTGGGGAGACCACTGATCTGCCCCGTGGCTGAGCCAGACCCCTGAGCAAGGAGAGAAGGCGAGCAGAGCCCGTTCTCATCCCCCCAGGCTGTTGAGCAGGAGCCTCGGAGGAAGGCAGCAGACGCATCTGGCAAGATGATGAGGTGGCCCATTTCCCCCAGCCCTGGCAGCCTCTCTCTGCAGCCCGCATCTCAGCAGTTGATTTTGTCTCTGTGTTGGCACCTGTTTGCCGCCTACACCAACTAATGTCTGTCAGTGGACTCATTATCATCAAGGATCTGAAATTAAGAAATTATGAATGTGTAGACACTTCTGTTCTCATCCTAATGGTTTGTTTGTTGTTTAATGGTTTGTTTATTTTATCGATGGCATCTGTCCTCATTGGAATGTTACAAATTGGACTTGTGCTTGCCCTTATTTGAGGCCTGGCCGTTTCTACCTTTGGTTTTCTAACTGTCCTTGTTTAAACAGACAGATGACAGATAGATGAAACATAGAGGGAGAGGGAAGGAGTGAAAGAGAGAGAACGCTAAATAGAAATAGTAAGGCTTTGGAAGTCATATTTTTGAAGAAACCAATCATTTGTAGCATTGAAAAGAGGTTTAGCCCTGTAGGGTGGCTCATGTTTATAATCCCAGCCCTCTGGAGGCCGAGGTAGGAAGTTAAGGTAGTTCAGAGGCCAGACTGGCCTACATAGAGAGACCCTGTCTCAAAACAAAACAAAGCAAAACAAAACAAAATGAACATTTAAATGAAACTCAGTAGCTGTCAAGGTTAGAATTGTATTTCAAAACATTTTTTAATTGTGAAGAACAGACATGCAGAAAATATGAAAGCAAACATATATTATACCCAACCTGTAGAAAGAAAGCCATGCAACCATCTCCCAGGTCAACATATGTAGCATTGCCTCCCACACCACTCACTCCCTGCCTTTCCCATACCACACTCGACTTCCTGCGATGAGATGGGACCACAAATTCCATAGCTCTGTCTTCCATGGCAACATTTTAAAAACTGCTTATGATCTAAATATGTAAGCAGAATGATATCATTTATTTGTACTTGTTTTTTTTAATATCTAAATATGTAAGCAGAATGATATCATTTATTTGTACTTGTTTTTTTTTTACTTGTTTATTTCTGCAAATAGAGTATAGTATACTGATTTGTTTTTTTAAGGTTCATTCATATTATAATTACAGTTTGCTCATTTTTATTAGTGTATAGTTTTTCCTTGTACGAATATGCCCTAACTTGTTAATTCAACATGATGTCGGTAAATATTGGAGCAGTTTTCAATTCAAGGCAATTAACCTGACAGGGATGCTCTGAGCTGTCTCCTCGGCACATCCTAGGGCACCCACCGGGGAGAGGAGTCTGCACGTATGGGCTGACACTAAACACTGCTTTTTCAACTGTTCAATCTGACTAGCAAGGATGAGGCTGAACTTCTCAACTCATCTTTTTCATGCCTGTAACTGTCAGATGTTCTGGTTCCTGTCAGTGTGATGAGTATAGACCAGTATTTCATCGTGGCTTTAATTTGCATACACCTAGTTATCATTTGAGTTGAGAGCCCTTTCCCATGTGCATTGAAAATACCACCTAGTCCTTGATCACTTTTTCTCCAGGTTTTCTTCTGTCTCATTGCTTGGAGGAATTGTTGACATACCATGAATTGAGGTCCTTGGCTGCACATATGTATATCAAATATCTTACCCTAAAATATGAGTTATATTTATGTTTTAATGGAGTCTTTGGATGGGCAGAATCACAGTTTTTATGCTCTCATGTGCATCTTTCTTTTAATCTGTGGTTAATTCATTTTGTCATATTAATTTTTTCTTCCTGAACTCTAAGTTCAAATTGAGAATTTCCTATGTGTGACATACACATGTAGATTGGTTTTTTTTTTATAGAATTGGGATCAATACTTCTGCTGCTAGAAAGAGGTATATTTTCAATACAATGATTTACAATGTTTCAGAGGAGAGAGACAAACCTGGATTATTTTGCTCCTTGGCACCCAGATGTTTCCAGATCATAGTAGATGTGATCCACCAAGGATGCTAAAGGGAAATACACATTCAGTGAGATGTCTATGCTTCACTCAGCCTTTAGGAGTCCAAGACTCTAGTTAGTGGTACATTCTTCTTATATATGGAGTTATGACCCACAATAGGGGCTTCGGACAAAAGTCACAATACATTAAATGCTTGTTTCTATACACAATGGTGTACATATACCCATATACTTCATGCCTCAAGCTGTGTCTTTAACTCATACAGGGGTTCTTTTCCTCTGTGACATTCCCCTGACTGGCAAAAAGATCCTCAGCTGGAACACAAAGAGTACTTCACTGGGTAAGGTATAGTCAGTAAAAGGAAATAGGACTTACACCAGGCTAGCTCAATGTGTGGCAGTTCGTTGGTGAGCAAGGCCAGGGATGAGAAGCAGCAGCTGATGCCTGGTTGGGACTGTCCCCAAAATGTCCAACAAGCCCAGATGCAGAGGGACTAGCCCAAAGGTGTGGGCTGCATGGAGATTGAACTTGGAGCTGCCCCAGCTCAAAGGCCAGAGTCTGGAGGAGGGCAGCATGGCTTCCACCAATTCTTAGAGAGCAGAGGAGGTCTAACCCTGAATCCCCAAACACAGACCTTCCTCGGTCTGTTTGTCTTCCCCTAATCCTCTAATATTTAAGGCCATTTCAATCCTGTTTGAAGAGACTTCCCAGAAGTTTGAGTCTGGGGCCTCTGGAGGAAGAGAAGGGAGGGAGGGAAGAGGGTGGGGGAGCAAAAAGGAGCAACTGTGAGAGTGGGCCTGGAGAGGAGGGGGAGGACTGGGGAGAAACAGGTAGCCATCTCTCACTGGATGGATGCTGGCTTGCTGGAGCCCCCTCCCAAAGGGGGCTTCTTTATGGTTTCAGAGACAGAGAGGAAGGGGGAGAAAGAAGGGAAAGAAAGCCTTAAACTAAGATCTAGGCTTTGGATAATTTCATTCATTCCTTTATTCATTCATTTGTTAAATAAGTTGATAAACAAATATCAAGCAACCTACTCCACTGGCTTTGAACAGATAATTCCTAGAATCACAACTGCAAAGGAATTGTGCAAGACACAACTGGATCTCTGTAGAGCTGTCCATATGTGACCAGGTGATAGGACCTGCACATAGGAGCAGAGACTGGACCCATCCATTCATAGGCTATCTGGGCTCTATATGGCTTCATGATCACTTGATCTTGCTGGAAAAAAAATGACAGCATGATTCCTGCAAACATTTAATGGTGCTTTTTGGACTAATGAAGGAATACCTTGGAAGACTGCTTTGAGGGCTAGACAAGAGAGGCACCCCGAATGTCAGACAAGGACACTATGCCCCAGGTTTAGAAAATGGACCCTGCTTCTCTATCTGCTGTTCACCAGGGCACCTCACATCTTACTGGATCCTGTGAGGTCAGTCTTCCTGACCCTTCCAGGGTGTGTATCCTGCTGTTGCTTGCTCTCATTTCCTTCTTCTTCCTAGGGCCCTGCACTCTGTCTCACTCCTGCATCTAAAGTAGGGCCAGTATATAGTTAATTGTATGGTGGTTAATGAAGTTTGAGACTATAACCGACTGTGTAATGCTTAACAGAGTTTGGGTCGAGGACAATTATTTACATCACTCAAATGCTAATACCCAAAAAGGCAAATCTTGGAATTTGAATTCCTTTCTTTTTTAAAATTAATTTTACTTTTGATTTTAAAGTGTGTGTGTGTGTGTGTGTGTGTGTGTACATGCAGGTGTCCAGATAGGCCAAAGGTGTCAGACCCCTGGGAACTGGAGTCACTTTGAGCCTTCTGACATAGATGCTGGGAACCAAACTTAGGTCCTCTGCAAGAACAGAACACTCAACCACTGAGCCATCTCTCTAACCCCGAGGATTTGCATTCTTAGGACACCAAAATTCTTAGCTCCACAAAGGACATCTGGCCTTCCTCCTGTCCCTATTGGTTTCAGCTTCCCACCCATCACCCCATCTTGCGTGTCATCCTCCTCTCTCAAATGGTTTTCACTCTTTTCCACATGCAAATTCCTATTTATTTCTCTTTTAAAAGAATTTTAGAATATTTTAATCAGAGCAATGCATGAATATTACTTTTTAAAAAATCAAACAGTGCAGACATTCTCATAATTAAATCAACAGTCGCCTCTTCTACCCCTCTCCATCTCTAATTCCATTCCCCAGAGTAAACCACTTTAAGCCATTTCTGATTTGAGGGTTTCTGGTGGTTTCCTCCCATACTGAACAATATATTTATGCCTCCAATTCTTGATTTATTGACCACAGATATCATCTATTGATTGCCCACTATGAAATATAACGATTTATCTTTGTAGCACAGTCAATGCCCTTTCCTTTCTTCTTTGCAATTTCTGTGATGTTTTCCAGTTAGACTAATTGCTCACACCAGTAAATAGAGATGGTTTGTTTTCTCCAGTCAGGCAGTTTATCTGACCACCTCATTTCCATAGAATACAAGAGCCTGTCTGCTCTTCCTTCTCTTTCTACATCTACTTTTCTATGCTTGTCAGCTGTACCTCTGCTGCTTTTTACCCACACACCTTATACTGCAAGGCTCTGGGTCTTCCCTGTGTTATGTACAGCAACCATGACCATGAATGTTTTGGACGAGACTGTCAGTGTCTACCAGTCAACTGGGACCCTGAGTCATGGTAAGGGGAGTACTAAAGACTTTAGGGTTCCCAAAACAGTGTGCTCAACTTGAAGATATTCCAGTGTATATATGTGTATAAATATTAATAGATACTAGATCTCCCATGCTCATTTGCAATTTGCATGTGCTCTGTAGGTCTAGAACCTATCATGTAAGTTATGTGAAAAGTTAGATGTGACAGAAAATGACAATGGGCAGTGACAGCCACTAAACACATTTCTCCATCATTGTCCTTACTGTTGGGTGAGGCAAGAATTATGACCACTGCTAGTCAGTGAGATATGAGCTATCTTGTGAGTCATTTCCAAGCTGAACCCACGAAAAGCTCACAAGCTTTGCTGATCTGTCTATTCTTGCTGCTATAGCTGAAGATATCAAGGACTCTTATGGTGCATCCCAGAGGAGACAAGGCTTCCTACACCTGAGCTTTTATGTGACTAAGGAGATGAGATCCCTGTGCTGACTTGACTGTACCAGTCAGAGACTGAGAAATAGACTCGTATGTATAGTACATGTGAATTGGGGCTAACTCATTATAATCTACTCAATTATTACTCATATAGTATCATACATTAACATTTCCATTGAAATATTATTCCCCAGCCAAGAAGTAAGTTAGAATGACATGGTTTCTTCAATAGAACTAACACTTGTAGGGCTTTGCCACTTGCAAGACAATGTTCTTGTGATCTGTCTTGGATATCATTTCCTTTTCCATGGTCAAGCATTATACTTAAAAAAAAAGTGGTTTGCCTCAAATAGGGATTGTTTATTTCCTTATATAAATCTTTGGTGCTTTCTAAAATTTACTTCTTTATTTTTTGAGAAAAGAATAATACCTTCTTATATCATTAGGTTAATAATTATTTATTACATAGGAACCATTTTTGTTCTATTGAGGGAAGAATAGCAAGGAAATAGCTAGAAGGAGGTGGAGGCGAAAGGACGTCTTCTTATGATGCCTCTAAGCAGAAAGGAGCGGCCATCAAGAGAGGGAAGAGCTAATAGTGCCCAAGAGAACAGCTGCACAGAGAGGATGGATGGAGTCTGGACACAGCTGGTAAGCAGCCAGAGGTGAATGCACACAGCCCAGTGCAGGCATGAAATGAAAGCAAAGGTGTTCTGCACAGACCCAAGTGGAAAGATGAAGATGGTGACTGCTGTCTTCTGTTGCCTCCTTCCTAGTAGCTCAAAGAGAATATTTGTGGAAAACTGAGAAGAAAGGAGAAGGAATGGGGAAATGGAGGAACAAAAATGGGAGCTCACTCAAGATGTCTGATGGACATCGTAAACAAAACACAGTCAGCATGGTGCCGTCAGAATATTTGTGGAAAACTGAGAAGAAAGGAGAAGGAATGGGGAAATGGAAGAACAAAAATGGGAGCTCACTCAAGACGTCTGATGGACATCGTAAACAAAACACAGTCAGCATGGTGCCGTGCCTTTCTTCTCCTGATCACTACTGGTCCCCAAGGTTGTCATGCTATGGCTAATGCTGGATCACTTCCTTCTTCATAATAGATTCTGCTCAGATCCCTTCAGCCTCGTGATTTGCTTTGAATTTGGGAAGTATTCTTGGATACTTCTTTTCCATCTGCTCCCCCTCCCCCTCTTCTTCTTCCTCCTCCTCTTCTTCTCCTCTTATGACCTCTTTCTTCCCTCTCTCATTTTTTCTTTCTTCTCTACACCCTGAGAAGTGTCTCTGACCTCATCCTACAGTTCGCTACTGAATTTTTTACTTTGGCAGTCATATATTTTTAATTTTCACAAGAACTTCTTGTTCCTTGGAAAGTTCTATTTCATGGACTTTTTATCTTTTTAATTTTTAAATTTTTATTATTTTGTTTTATTTTTAATGAGAAAAAAGTTTAGTGTCATGGTTAAAAACAGAGACTGGGAAGTCAGACCAACCGAGTTTAAACCTCAACCCTGTGTCTTGTTAGTTGTATGAATGTGGGTGAGTCACTCAGGAACTCTGTGACAGTTTCCTCACCTGGAACACAAAGACGGTTGTATCATGATATGATAAAAAATAAGTGAGCTAATATATGTAGTAAATATATGCAGATCTATGTATGCACACAAATATATTTCATATATTACACACACACACACACACACACACACACACACACAC